GTATAAGAAAAACTTTCAAAAAAAAAAAAAAAAAAGAAGAAAGAAAAAAAAAAGGCTGTAAAGGCACTATGAGAGAACCTATTCCTCTTTTCAGTTCCTTAATGATATCCAATATAGGAGAATGCTATGAAATGAATGTTGGTGTCCCTCAAAACTCGAATGCTGGAACCTGATACCAGTGTGATGATAAGAGGTAAGGCCTCTGGGAATTGATCAAGCCACCAGGGCTCCACCTTCACTAATAGGGTTAGTAGCCTTAGAAGAGAGGTTTGAGTAAGCTCCCATGCCCCTTCTGCCATGTGAGGGCACAAGGACAGTACCATCTGTGGGAACTCTCATCTGGTGCTGAGTCTGTGGATGCCTTGATCTCGGACTTCCTAGCCTCCAGAACTGTGAGCAGTAAGTTTTCTATTCTTCTTTATAAACTGTTCAATTAAGGTATTTCACTATAACAACCAAAATGAATTGAGACAGGGAGATTTTCTAATAGTGAAATTATTAGGTCATCAGAAAAATTATGACACATTTTTGCATAGGAAAACATGTCATGACTTTTCCAAAGACCCAATAATTTGTGGTGCATCTTGTCTTCAATCACTTTTCTTGGAGAGGTTTTTTTTTTTTTTGCTATAGGGCGTGTGCGCTCGCCATACAGACAGAGAGAGACAGAGACAGAAAGCAAGAAATCACCCCCCAGGGGGAATGGCCACGCCGCAATCCCTTCTCCTCCATTCTCCTCTCAGGATCTTGGGCATGCATGTACACGTGCCTGGCATGAGTTTTAAGCCACCGGGTCTGGGATGCGAACCACGATCAACTACATGGGAGTCCCGCGACATAGCTATCACGCTAACTGCTGGTCCCCTTCAATCACTTTTCTATCTATCATTTTCCCAGTTAATATATTAATTTCAAACCCAATTTGTTTTGCTTATTCAACAGTATCATGTAATAATTTTAACCCATTCTTTTATGACTGTTAAGTTACATCTTTTTGCTGTTTTTAAATTCAAGATATTTTTCTTCTTGTTATTCATCTTTTTGCTATTGTAAATAGTGCTGTGATGAACATTTTTCTGCATGAATCTTTTTTTTTCTTTTAGAGATTTTTTTTCTATAGGGCACATGCATCACCCCCTGGGGGGATGGCCACACCACAACCCCTTCTTCATTCTCCTCTAAGGATTTTGGGCATACATACATACACACCCAGTGTGAGTTTCAAGGTACTGGGTCCAGGACTTGAAGCACAGTCAGCCATGCGGGAGTTCCGCACCTTAACCAATAATACCACCTGCTGGCCACATTGCATTAATCTTTCTCTATGTAAAGTAAGTGCAACACAGAAATTGTTATACTATGACTGGGTAATTTTTAGTATTTTGAAGTGGGAATTAGTGAATTAGTGGCCTGAATGTGGTAAATTGTGCTTCAATTGACTGTATTTAAAAAGAGTAGGCTAGATCCAGGGAGCAATGATAATGTGTTGTTCAAGAAAAGCCAGATCCCACATGGCAACTACAGTTTGGATTCCTGACCCTGCAAGCCTAAAACATGTGGGGTATACATGAGTGCCCCAAATCCAAAAGGCTGACGACCTGGAAGAAAGAGATCATGGTGTGGACAGATCCCATGAAGCGCTTTCCTCTCTCCCTCTCTCATTCTCATGTGCTCACATACATACTGGATCGTGAATAAAGAGGGGAAAACAAAGGAGGTATTTTTTGTTTGTTTTGTAGGTTTTTGCCATAGGTTGTGTGTTTTTGCTGGAGAGAGACAGAGAGAGGGAAAGTAAGAAATTGCTCTTCAGGGGGATGGATGGCCACACCACAATTCTTCCTCCTCCATTCTGTTCCTGGAATTTTGGACATGCACACACACTTGCCTGGCATGACTTTCAAGCCACTGGGTCCAGGACTTGAAATGTGGTTGATCATGTGGGAGTCCAGCACTTTAACAGCCATGCCACCTGCTGGCCCCAAGATTTTTTTCGTTTTTAAAAATAGGCACAAACATTTGCCTATCACCATCACGGATGGACTCTGTGTCCTAGAGAATAATTGGGCATATGTCCAGCATCCAGGGTTGTAAACTGCCCTTTTACACTTTTCCAGGGTATGAGGAAAGACAGTGGGTGGGGGAAGGCAGGAGAGT